TGCATAAATGCATAATACCATACATTTTCTTATTAATTTACCCTAGTGTCTTATCCTTTCCAAGAAGTTTCTGAGTTGCTTTCATTTGCTTGCTGAACATTCATCAGTGATCAAGGTCTTTCTGTCCAGACTTTTCCACCCACTATGCCGAGCCATTCATATTAAAAAAAAAAAAATACAGTGGTCTCCATGGGAACCACGAGCTATGGAATGAGAGATGCTGCTGACATTCAGTGAACAAACAGAAAACACATCTGTCTGAGGTCAAGAGGCATGTATGTAATGAACTGTGAAGGGCAGCAGGTCATCAGTGAGTAAGTAACCTCCTTAGAAATCCAAATATGTTAGTGTATCTCGGAGAAGATTTCATAATATATATAAAATACTAGATAACCTTTCTCAGATATGTTAATAAATAAAATTCAATGAATCAGAAGACGTGTATATTAATTCATAATCTCAAGGTTCGGAACCACCAGATGCTAATAAATATGGATCACCGGACTATAATTCAGAAAAGCATGCAATCATTTTTCACTCTCATGCAGTTGAAAGTTGGTAAAAGAGGAAGGAGATTACACTGAACTCTACAATGAAGATACTCTCTGCTCGGCGGGTATTCCTCTCTTCTCTCTCCCCCTGCAAAGATACACATACAGTAATTGCCACTGTTGCTCTGGAGTCAGATTACTGATAAACTATAAACCAATGCTACATCTTAAAGCAGAGTACAATTGCACAAGATAGAAACGGATCAAACTAAACCCCAATGAGGAGGTTTCTGAAAACTATTTAACCTCACTTATTTTTACTTTGAAAATGAAGAAGGTAAATTCAGCACTTCTGGGTGCTGTTTCGATTATATAGCACCCAAAGCTAAACTATATTGTACCATAGAAAATAAGTGATTTTACTTCTGACAGAAAGTTGTTAGATACTCTTATGCAAGAGTAGAACTGTCTCACAAATCAGTATGTTTGGTGAGATAGTTGAACTAGTTTGTAACTAATGCCCATGTAAGCTTGGATACCCTAGACTGAAGTTGCCTAGCAATTTCAAACATGGGTGTTCTGCCTTAAGCTAAAACCAGATTTCTTACTGATGATCTGTTTGATTGATTGATTGACGTATTGATTGTTTGATTTACAGTCCAACATTCTGCTGTAGCAACCACTCCAGGCAGCTAACAAAACCTTAAACAAACAATACACATACATACATACCATTAATGGTAAAAGAAACACTAAACTCACCTAACAAATAAAAGCCTAGTGTAAGAGCTGCATCTTTATAGGTTTCCTAAATATGTGTAGTAGAATCTCCAGGTAGAATGGCAGAAGATGTGAAGAGGGGTGAACTAAACAGAGTCCTTGCATAGCAAAAAATGTGACTGCATTACTAACCTTCCCCAGGATCCCTGAAGCCTTATCAGACGGTTCTCAAGAGAATGCAGTCAGCCTGGCAAGATTCTTGCAAATAGCATTGGAACAATAAATAAATAACTTTGTTCAGCTCATGGTGTGGGATTTGGTCCTTGTGCCTAACAAAACCAGCAGAATATTGTAAGGCCAAGTAAGTATATTCCATGGCTTGAGAGCAATGCAAGAGAAGCCCCCCCTCCTGGGTTTCACAAGACGAGACCCTGAGATTGGCCCCCTTAAAAGGGCCATTCTTGCACAGTTAAATAATGGCATAGATTTATATTAGGAAAGGTGAATCATTAGGGCAGGGGTCTCCAAACATGGCAGCTTTAAGACTTGTGGACTTCAACTCCCAGATTCTCCAGCCAGCATAGAATTCTGGGAATTGAAGTCCACAAGTCTTAAAGCTGCCAAATTTGAAGACCTTTGCATTAGGGAAACAGGGCTTGAACTGTCAAGGCCTCCAAACCAATACCTTAAATTATGCTTGGTAATCAATTGGCAACCAGATCCTGTATCTTGAAGTAATTAGCAGTGAAAGGGCCAAATTTCCACAATTGTAACTTCCGAACACTTGTCACTATAGGGCAGTGTCCTATAGTGTACCATGCAATAGACAAGACAGGATGTAATCAAGATGGATCACTATTGCCAAAGTTAATTTATTTGGACAGGACAAAGCTGGTGCACTAGATATAATGCATCAGCAGACATATTGATATCATGTACCATATTTACAAGAGGAGAGAGAGAGTACCAAGTTCACATGCTAGCTAGAAAGGTTATTCATTTCTTTTTCCTAGTCACTATTTAATTTATTTTTTGTTAGTTTCACAGCTATCAAAAGAATGCCAGAATTTTTCTCCTTAATCTACTTTCTTCATTGTCAATGGCTCTTTCCAGAGGGTGAATCTCTTCTCTCCTAATGAGAGGGACAGAAATGGAAGCACTAGTAGCTACTACTATCCTACTGAGAATAGGATACTAGAAAAAGCAGAAGGATTACCAAAGATCAAGATATCATCCGGACACTCTGTAAAATGTTGTACATGAAGTGATTTCAGTGCCTTTTTGCCCATAGGGCAATAAAATAGTTAGCCGCTTAAAATGAAATATAAATTTAGAGTACAAGCAGTTAAAATTATAAATACATTGTTAAAAGGCAGAGCTGAAGAGAATGGCCCAATAAATGTCTCATCAGGAAGAAACCAACTTGTATACGGAAACTAACTTTAGTTCTCACTTTGATTTCATCTCAACAATTGCTTATGTTCCTCTTTATTTATATCAATAAAAGTACTTTTTCTTTCGAGAGGTCTAAAATGATGTGCTTACCACAAGCTCAATATCTATTTGGTCTATTAGCTAAGCAGTGTACATATAAGGAAGACAGTCAGGAGATGCTGGAAAAAAGGTACTTAGCTTACTTGTGGCCAGAAACTCCTTTACATAAATGCCCATTTCTTGTGATGTGAATATTTCAAGTGGATAAATACTTGACCCACAAGAGTCCTGCAAGAACTGGAGTAAAAAGAGGTTGGATGAGGAAACAAGGCATTTCTTGATTCTTTTCCACTTTTAGGAAGCAGTTATTTTCAAGAAGCAAAAGAAGAGACCTTGACATTTCTATCACAGTATTTAAGGGAGAGAGAGAGAAAAAATGGCCATAGAAGGCAACTGTCTAGGAAAAATGCTTCAAGATGGAAAAGAGTTTCTTAAGAGACAGCAAGAAATACTATGACAGCATAGGGTTAGCATGACTGTGTCATTCTTTGAGGACCAAGTTTTGATTATAAATACTCTGAATCTATCATCAGCATGCATATTTTAGAATTCAATTAACCATGGCTAATAGCTTTCAATCATGTGGCTAATCAAAATTATGTCTGGATTTGGCAATTTACATGCTTGATTTCATTTTATAACTAAGAATAAAGTCAATTTGAGTACTCACGAACAAGGACACACATTTTCTGGGCAACTGCACTCTAAGATTAGCCTTTACTGCTTCTGGGATTTTTTTTCTTCCAACTTCTCAGTTTAGCCTACATTTGTGGGATTTCCTGGTGGTCCCTTATCCAAGTACTAGCCAGGCCCAACCCAGGCTGTATTTATGGTCAGTTTTAGCCATCTGCTGCAGACAATTAAAAAAATAGTCCTGAATGTTTTAAAAAAGAGTAAAATACAAAGAAGAAATAAGATTTGGTGAGGACTGCATCCCAGTTAGCTTTCTTTCTTCATATATAATCGATCTCTTTAACTCCTTCACAACAAAATTAAAAGAGATAGAGGTGTATATTGTATATATTGGTGAATATGGTTGCATACTTAATTGTCATGTTGGTGCTGTTGTAAAATAGACTTCTTGATTTTTTAAGTTACAGCTCCCATCACCCCTGAACCAAAGATGTGGATTTCCCCCCAAAATATGATTTGGTAAATTTGCAAATAAGTAACATTCCAATTAGCACATTACTTCAGTATGCTTAATCTGCACAAGTATTTAGGCTATAATATCTGATGGGAGAGAGGGAGAATTATGAGATCCTGCTTCTCAGTATTTAAGAATAATCATCTGAAAAAGCAAATATCATCTATCTTTGAAATTGTAAACTTGCCTGAAGTAGTAAACGTTCTACTGAAAATGTTAAACCCATTATTCCTCTCAGTATTGGAACTGGGCCAATTTGAGCTGAACAGCAACTGAGCATCCATTTTTCAAAATTGTAATTTATGGGAAATAGTGTAACATAACAATGAAGTCTGCCACAGAAGCACTCTTTGCAAGGTACTTTAAAACCAAGTGGTGATTTCTCCCATTTGTCCTCGCCATCTGTATATCTCAAATACTTCAAGCGTAGCGCTATTTATATGCTTATGAGGCTGGAAGTTGCAGAAAACTCTTTGAGTCATTCATTAACTCAGTCTGAGCTAGCAAATAGCTCAGCACTGTGAACACTAGCCAATTAATTCACACTTTCTGCTTCAAACTGACCAATTAGAGAGGATCTGAGTTTCTAATGTTCTATGAATGACCAGATAACCTTTTTTTCTGTTGTGATGTCCTTTATCTCAACAAACTTTATAAGAATAGGAAGACACCCAAGTAGTATTTGGATCCCTGGGGATCTTGGTGCTCTCTGAACTTGGTGGTTTTCTTGCAGACATTTCATTACCAAACTAAGTAACACCATCAATGCTAGTGAATATTTGGGTCTTTCCTCAGTTGTGCTATATGAAATGACAGCTTAGAACCGGGAAGTGGGACATGACAATTCACCTTCTTCATGGGGGGAAAAATCATTAATACAGAAGGAATTCATTGCATTGAAAGTTTTATCCATCTCTGAGGTGAGGGAGAGAAAAGTCAATTTTGTGAGAATGGTGAAGAATGGAAAATAGGGCTTTGGCAATTTTATCACATAAGTGCTAGTTTGCAGGCATTGAATGGTTGATAGAGACATGTGTAGCCTAAGAGTTAGGGTAAAATCAGCTCGTAGAAATGTGTAATGTCTTTATTAAAAGTGAACTAACCAATAGAGCCAGTTTGGTGTAGAGGGTTAAGTTGCTAGCCAGGAGACTGTGAGTTCTAGTGCCATCTTAACCATGAAAGTTGGCTGGGGGTCTTTAGGCCAGTCAGTCTCTCTCAGCTGAATCCATCTCAGAGGGTTTTGCTGTGAGGAAAATGGAAGGAGGAAGGAGTATTCAATATGTTTGCTGCCTTGAGTTACTTATAAAATAATAAAGATGAGATAAAATCTAATAATCAGTAGATAGATTCAGCATTAGAATATAAGATGAGAAACTACTAGCCATGGTATTGAACAATATAGAACCTGAAAATAAACCGGGGATGTAATTTTAGCTGAGATTTGGAATAATAAGTCTTGTGTTAGCTGTCCTGGTTCTTTCAATCTTACTCCTGAACAGATATGTTTAGGGCTATTCATCTAATCTTCTGCTTTAAGTCAAATTGATGTATAGTGGTAATAATGCTGACATGCAAAAACATTTATTTTTCCCACTAACTGCATAACTGAAATTTACTGGGTAAAAAGAAATGACAATTATATTTACGATATTAGGCAAATTGTTATTTCTTTTTTTCCCTTTTTCCCTTTTAAAACACAAATTTTAATTTGTTTTTAATTTATTGGGGTGTTTTTAAATCTGCCTTCGGCCAAATTGTTTAATTCGGTTTTATTCTGTTTTTAAATTTTGTATTTATGTGTTTTCATCTGGTGGCTGTTCACCGCCCTGAGTCCTTCGGGAGTAGGGCGGTATACAAATAAACTAAACTAAACTAAACTAAACTAAACTAAACTAAACTAAACTAAACTAAACTAAACTAAACTAAACTAAACTAAACTAAACTAAACTTTTCATTTCCCTGTTCTTTAGAATATAGAACATGGGATCATAGGGCTGGAGGGAACCTCAGAGGTCTTCTAGTCCAATCCCCTGCTCAAGGCAGGAGTTCTTATATCATTCCAGTTAAGTTTATTTCTGAAAACCTCCAATGATGGAATACCCACAACTCTGGGAGACAAGCTATTCCATTGATTTATTGTTCTCACTGTCAGGCAATTTCTCCTTACTTCTACTGTAGGTTCAAGTTCCGCCTTAGCCATAAAAGTCAGCTGGGTCACTTTGGGCCAATCACTACCTCTCTTAGCCCAACCACCTCCCAGAATCCAGCTCTGGCCATTATAGGCTCTGCCCATAAATAGTAGGAAGTAACCTTCAGTCCTTGTATTCAGGCATACGCATCCCAGGGAACAAAATGGTTGTCCACTTGAAGGGTGTGTAGAGATTAAAGTATTGATTCAGAATTTGTGGATGAGTTTCTTCTTGCTATACATAATGCACATGTTTATTCTCTCTCCTGCAACTCCAGGAGTGCCAGCTAACAACTAGCAAAATAGTTCTCTAGTAATGTATGTTAAGACATTTCTTTAAAAACCTTATAGATGTCCTAAGCAAGAAATAAAATCACAAGTTTTGTATTCCTGCCACCTATCAAAGAGTGGGGATGAGAAGTTTTTTTTCCCACACACCCAACAGTGTTTTAAGCCTCACTATTCTGCTTTAAAGTCATACGAGTCAACCATTTTCGCTCCATCTTAGATTCACAGAAGTTTCTGCTGGTTGAATAAATTCCCTGAAGCAAGAAGCACTACTTCAAATGTGTTTTAAAGCAAATATGCTTAACACATCTACCTTGATTGATAGATTTATCGATGACATGAAAGCCCATAGTGTAAGCTTTGGGGCAGGTATGGTATGGGGAAAAAATAATTATATAGTCTGCTGTTATGAACAGCAGTAACAACGTTAAGAAAAACTTCCCCTCTCATAACAATGATTTTGAGCTTCAGCATTCATGGAGTGATGGCGGCAGCATGGTACAATGAGAATCTCAGGGCATGTCCTACCCTTTTTATAATAGCATGAGTAGCAAATGCACTTAGGAAAAGGCTAAACCGGTATCATGATACCCTATTTGCCATCATGCCATTTTGGCCCCTTCCTCCCAAAAGTTGTTGTTTTTATAGGATATAGGTCCATTTTCTCAAAAGCTAGCGGGCACATTTTTATGAAAATCTTGGCGACCGATTCATTAGCTGGACTAAAGCCATTCCACCAGCTGGACTAAAGCCATTCCAAAATTATAATATGCACACAATGACAAGCTAATTCTTACTGATTCCACCCCCCCAAACACTGTTTGTGCCCAGTAGATGGGCTCATCCATTCTTGAGATTGGAGTCACAGGGGGAAAAAAGGCAATTGGACAAAGCAATGAAAGTTGGCATTTTCATCTGGAAGAGAAAACACAATCTCAACTCCCTTCCCCTCATTGCCCCCACCCCAACTTCATGAATAACTGCGTGAAGGAATCCCCTGAAAGAACTTTTTCAAATATATTTGGAGGCTGACTTTTTTAAATCAAGCCCCATTGCATCTTAATTGGTTTCTGTTTGTTGATTTTACAAATCATGAAATGAAGCCTGGGCTTCAGACAAGAGAGTAAATTGGGATCTTTTCTAAATGCAGTTTGAAGATAAGCTTAAACACAAAGGGTGGTTATGAACTGATTTCCTGCTCTATAGTTTTATTTATAAAGCTGTCATCAGCTACTGTCTTCATAACCCACTAAGCCTCCAAGTTAAAAACAAAACAAAAGCAAAACATCTCTGTTGCATGCATTATAAGTCTATGAATCACAAAATGCAGCGGTCAGTTGAAAGTATTAATTAGTACATAAGAAATATGAAAAGTAGACTACAATTGTATTGCTATTTAAAAAATATTGTCATAAATTGTTCCGTAATTGCTATGCTCTTTTTTAATAAATCCCCAATCATTTGTTTGTATTTGTTGCTTTGTAGATATACTTTGTCATTGGTTTGTCATTTCTGATTGGAAAACTTCCTTTTCTTTCTTTTGGGAGGTGTCACAATCTATGATAACTCAAATACTTTGGCCACCTAATGAGAAGGAAGGACTCACTGGAGAAGAGCCTAATGATGGGCTCTTGAGGGCAAAAGAAGAAGGGGATGACAAAGAATGAGGTGGCTGGATGGAGACACTGAAGCAGACAGTGTGATCTTAAATGGACTCTGGGGGATGGTAGAGGACAGGAAGGCCTGGGGAAACATTGTCCATGGGGTCGCGATGGGTCAAACACAAGTTCGGAACTAACAACAACAAATAATCTATGATAAAACATCCTTCAGAATTATTATGTAGAATTACTACAGTTGATTTGCCAGCAATGTAGGGCTTGAAAACAATTTTGAAAAGTATAGGAGTAAATTCCCAGGCTGATTTATATTAAGCTTCCTGCTTCTTTTTGATGGATGGATGGATGGACGGACAAATGATAAAATATGTATGTATTGTTTCGTGCAGCCTTATAGCAAACAAGCACACTATGCATCAAATATATATAAAATCTGTAGCTGTAAATAAAGCCATTCATACAATACAATAAAAGAATATTAAAAATATAATGAATGATCAACATTCATACTTGTCTTCATTCACAAACAGAACAAATAGAAGCACAAAATCAAGCAGCCTGGGCGATACACCAGAGTCTTGGCCATACAGAAGATTTGACAAATAAGCATCATCCTATCTGCGAATAGTTTTTCAGCATGGGAAAGACAATTGTCATCTGAGATTCCCTGTAAAGAAAGAAGCAGAGCAGCATGCATCAGAGGGGCTCTACAGAGCTGTCCCCTCACAGGCATTTGTACTGATGTAGGGGAGTGTTTTTATAATGACCCACAGGAATGCAGAGGGTAGTGTCTGCAATCTGCCAAAGTGAAGGCAAAATTTCAGAACTGGAAAGGAGGAAAGACAGGCAGATGGCAAATGCCCATTTGAAAAAACAAATCCATAGATGATGGGATTAAATACCAGGCTTAGATTAGTTACAAAATTTATATCCCAGATATGCTGAATAAGGACAATCTTGGAATTTTCAAACCTTAATGGGTAGAGGCTGCCCAAAAGAAACCTTAGGACTGGGTTCTGCTGTTAGCCAGTTTTTTAAAGCCAATTTAATCAGCCAAGTTTTTCCCATGGCCATTTTTTTGGGGGAATCAATCTCTCATAGATTTCAGACTACAACCAAATATTACGATTACCAAAGTGGAGTCTGACCAATGCAAAATAAATAAATAAATAAATAAAAATGCTTCCCAAAGATTTGGAAAATATTCATCTCTTGATTCAGGCTGAAAGTGCATTTCCAGCATCCTATTATAACTTCTCTTAGCCTAAGACAGTACTTATTATTGTGCCGATTTTATTAAAATCCATTTTTAAAGTCCAAGATACTAATTTGACTATGCCTAGTTTTAATTTCTCTTAAAGGAAACATTCAGTTTTATGTGTAGTTTCCTACTATTTCAACCAAAACTTCAACCACATCTTCCCTATGTAATATCAGGTCAAGGAACTTGATTTTCATATGACTTCTACTATTAAAAAAAAAAGTTGCCTTTAGAATAGAACAGGGTTTTCCTACAAACATCAGGTTTGGTAGAATGTTTGTCAACAAGTGTTGATGTGACGAAAGTCTCCCATCACTCTTCAGGTCTCATGGAAAGAAGTGAAAAAGTGCTTCTGTAAGCCATTATATACTCACTAGCTGGACGCCCGTGCTTTGCTACGAAACTATGTGATTGGGTGTGATAAACTGACACTTAAAGTCTGAAACTTAGAATGTATAACTCTGTAGCATCAGAGCATGTTAATATAAGGCAACTGGCAGTTGGAACAGAGGTGGAGGGGGAGTAGAATGTCGCAGCCTGCAGGTCGGATGAGTCATGCACTGGCCATGCCCTCGCCCGGTTTAGAGAAGGGGTAGCATCAGAGCGTGTTAATATAAGGCAACTGGCAGTTAGAACAGAGTTCTTTTCTGGTGGGGAAGGGAATAGAACGTCTAACTCCTTAGCGTCAGAGCGTGTGAATATAATACTGTATATGAAATACTAATGATCTGATGGTCATTTCAAAAAATCCTTTCGTAATGAGCACCTAGAAGTCAAGAGGAACATACGTGCCAAATTTCAAGTTTGTAGGCTGTACTGTTCTGGAGATTTTGTGATGAGTGAATGGTATTTGGCTTTTATATATATAGATTGGTTGGATGACAGTAGAACAAAATGATTGCTTTTATTTGCTCTGCCACTTACTTTAGTCCAAATGCTCCCTACTTCTAAATCCATTCACTGTGATTCCAAGAAAGAATGAATATTTTGACAAATAGTGCATCTCCTCACTTTCAATGCTTCTGTTTCTTTTAAACAATTGTTAAGCTTCAACTGCCATATTCCATTAAGTTTATAAATGAATTTGCATTACAAAATCAACTATGAATATAAATCTATGTGATTGACATACTGGTATAAAACCATAGTGCTAAAAATGGCTAAAGCACCATAATACAAATGGTTAACAGAATGTGATGACCCAGGATGTCGCACGAAAGCAACACAACCAGAGAACAGGTCTAACTCCCTTTTATTGCTCCAACTGTGCCCCCAAATGTCCCCACATTCACTACAAGTCCTGGAGCAAAGCTCTCACACACACCTTCAGAAGCCTCTGGTTCCGAGTAGTCCAGTAAGTAAGATTAGCAACCAGGGCCAACAGTCCAATAAGCCAGGCTAACCAAAGAGTAACCAGAGCAAAAAGTTCAGTGAAGCAGGCAATCCAGGCAAGCCCCACAAGACAGAGTACAGCAATCTCCAGGTGTTGGCAAGTGCACACGAGGCTCCACAGATTCAACGCTTGTTCCTGACAAATGCCCCTCCCACTGGCACCTCCTTACATCTCAGTCCCTAGGTGTGCCTTGTGAAAGGGGGCGGGGCACTCTCATCCTTTGTAGCTAGTTCAATCTGTGTTGATCTCACCGTCTCTCTTCCCTCCTTGTTCTAGGATCAGGAGGGGATAGTCCTTGCTCTTCTCCTGAGTTCTGTCTCTCCTGCTCCTCCCTGTCTGCAGGCCTTACTAATTCCGAAAAGCCTTCCCTAGATTGACTCTGACCTTCCCCAGTTTCCTCCAAGGCTAATGGAGCTGCCCTCTCAATCTTTGTCGGCTCTTGTTCCAGCTCATCTTCCCCCACAGATTCAGACTCCGATGGGGGTATGACACAGAATGTAACATCACAGTATTGTCTAAATTGAAAATTAATGGTATTGTAGGTAGTTCTCGACTCACAACACTTCGTTAAATGGCCGTTCAAAGTTATAACAGCATTGAAAAAAGACACTTATGACTGTTTTTCACAGTTACAACCTTTTCAGCATCCGCATGATCATGTGACCAAAATTCAAATGCTTGGCAACTGGTTCATACCCTTTGCAGCCTTCTGACAAGCGAAGTCAATGGGGAAGTCAGATTCATTTAACAACCGTGTTACTAAAACATCAATTGCAGTGATTCACTTAACAAATGTCAAGAGATGACAAGAAATGTCCTAAAATGGGGCAAAATTCACTTAACAAATGTCTTATTTAACAACAGAAATGTTGGGCTCAATTGTAGTTGTAAGTCGAGGACTACCTGTATTGTAAAACAATGGAGGAAAAAATTAGTTAGAAAATTATTGGCAGGGAATCTAAAGATTAAAACCTAGAATAACTTCACACAAACATATGCATGCTCAAACACAAAGATTTATGAACATTGTCTTAATATTCTAAGAGCTCTATGCTCCTTTACGGCATGAGGAATACCTAAACCATTTTGGAACAATCTGGCATGATGTTTGATCTCAAGTACATTATGTGCTTGTTTTTTCAGTAGTCTCATTCATTCCCATGGGGTAGAATTGACTCAAAAACTGTTAAGATTCTCATTTAATTAAGGAGAGAATGAGATTAAAGTCTTGTCTGGAAATTCAAAGTAGCACAGTGGAGGATTACCTGGAGCATGAAATTATGGGAAATTATACAGTCTTAAAAGAAAACTGGATAAACTTTTTTCAGTGCTGTAAAAGTGCATTTGACTTTACCTGTTAACTAAAGGCCAATTAAGAATCAAAGTCATAATTATTTAATGTGTATAGATGTTTGTGTTTTTTATAACATAACTAAAAGATAGACCAAGACCCTTGTGGTTAGTGTAGCATAGATATCTAAGCCATAATTTTATTAATACTTTACTTACATTGATTTTAACTTTTGAGTTTGATTTTAATTGTATTAATTTTGTAGTTTAACAGTCTAGAAACTATAACAATAACAGAGCTGGAAGGGACCTTGGAGGTCATCTAGTCCAATCCCCTGCTCACGCAGGAGACCTATATTCGAACCACCGAACTGCCGACCTTTCTGATCAATGAGCTCAATGTCTTAGCCACTGAGCCACCTAACCAGGCAGTTTCATATTTTGTATTTCAAACCCCTATTTTTCTGTATATGTATGCAACATTGACACACATAGAAAATAGTGGGCTTTGATTTCCATGCTGTGGCTATCAATTTGCCACTTTTGACATCTTCCCGGGGTGCAACTGTTCACATTGGAAAAATTGCTGTAAGAAGATTACTTGGGAAGAAAAGAGGTCCTTGCAATCATGTGGCCCATAGTAAAACCAACAATCTTGCTAATGGATCTTATTTATTAATGTGTGTACATGTGTGTGTATGTAGTACACATGTATAACACATGCCATACCCTGTTTTCCCCAAAATAAGACATCCCCTGATAATAAGCCCAATTGGGCTTTTGAGCACATGGCAATAGGGCCAAGCGCTTATTTCAGGGTTCAATAAAATATAAGACAGGGTCTTATTTTCGGAAAAACACGGTATGATTTCTTTCAGTTGGCTAATCAGAAATTTTGTACACATTTTCTGTAATTTAAATTGGTAGTTTTAGACAACTGCAGCAAACTTAATATCCAAGCCAGAAATATCTGAAAAACAAATTTATGGAATTCCAGATAGGAATATTTTAAAATGAATGAATTGTTGCCCATTGATTCATCTGCTAAAAAATTAATTTAGTAGGTGCACATCACTGTTTTTCAATTATTTCTGTGTAATAGAGTTTTCAGGATGTAGTGCTGTCATATGTAATTTTTATTATCTTTTTACATTATTGGAAGGCCGTTAGGCAGTCAAGAACAGTATTTATTTAAAACGAGAGCAATCAAATTATCCCTATTTTGTCATTTCAGTAATAAAAGTGTTTGAACCCGCAGGTACAATTTTAAGAATAGATTCAAATAAAACACTAATAATCTGTTAATGGATAAAACAAAATAATAATTGCTATCTCTTTGGAAATTATTGGAATTATGTAATCTGTTACAATTGTTTGCTCCATAGGCAATGAGTAAAGCTTCCTTTTCTCTTCCAAATTCCTATTTGTGTCCAAGATTCCTGTTTTCTTCAAAGCAAAGCATAATATGAAAGTTGCATTTCACATGAAATTACCAAAAACATATCTCTTTTCCATAATCCATCACTGGGGAAATCGGATATATTCATGCTCTTAGTCTATTTTCCTTAGATAAGACATTTACAGCAATTTACCTGGTGTAAGTAAAGATCTTCACTTTTCTCTAGCTCTCCATCTGTCTGATTCAGTTCCCTTTTTCCTGTAGCTCTGATTTAAGATCTCCAAAGAAAGGATGATTTCATTACTTGTATCCATTTTGCTATATCAAAATAACATAATTTTATTACCATTTTTCCTAAATAATGAAACCATATTTTGCCTGTACTACATTGGTTACCGTAAATATTTTAATATTCTTAATCAAAAGCTGATGTATATGTTGTACTTATTTTAAAACCATTAGTTTACTGTATGTCTCTATTTTTATGTCTTATTTCTTAAAAAGAAATAGATGGTAATTATTTAAGTAAGAAAGATTTGGCATTAACTTTAAGAATATGTAAGAATGTATTGTTACGTCATGAGAATGCTATCCATTCATTTGTGTCCTATTCATTGTCATTCTATGGACCAGCTTTTTCCACCTTCTCCAATCTTGTACAACTTCTTTCAGTTGTTTTACGTTGTGGCTGTGTCAGCTTTGATGGTGCCTAGTCATCCTGTTTTTTGGTGACCTTGTTTCCTTTTGCTGCTGACCATCCCAAGCATAACTGCCTTTTTCAGTGAGTTTGATTCCATGACATGGCTGAAATAAATAAGGCAGAATTTTGTAATTTTGCTTTTCAACAATGTACCTGGTTTAATATGCTCCAGTACTTGCTTGTTTCTCATTTTTGGTGTCAAATGAATGCGCAGAAGTCTTCTCCATCACTTCAGCTTGATCAAATTTATTTTTCTCTGGTTTAGTTTTTCCAGTCCATCTTTTACAATCATAAATAGCTGTGGGAAACACAATAGCACGGATTAATCTGCATTTAGTTGCGTTTAGTTGCATTTAGTTGCATTTAGTTGGCAGGTTGATGTCCTTGTTTTCTATACTTGGTTCATCATTGCTATGCAACCCTGTGCACTTTGATGCTTTATTTCTGGACTGCATTTACTGCTTTGATCAACCTGCGATACTAGAAAAGCGAATTCTTGTACACATTTGATCTCTTCACTCTCAATTGTTATTTTGACATTTTCATTCCTCAAAGTGGTCATGAACTTGGGGTTTTTGATGTTCAGGAAGAGGACAAATTCCTCATTCCATTCTTTAATCCTTTCGATCAGATGTTTAAGGCTTTCTTTGGTTTCTGAGATGATCATTGTGTTGTCAGCATAACAAAGATTGTTGATGTTCCTTCTTCCAATCTTTACTCCGATTTTTTATTCTTCAAGTTCCAGCTTCCTCATGATCATTTTGGCACGCAGGTTGAGTAAGAAAGGTGAAAGAATGCAACCTTGCCACAATCCTTTCTCCGTCTTGAACCAATCGGTGTCTCCATACGAGGTTTACACAGAGACTTCCTGATTTGTGAATACACCATAATCTAACTTTTTTTTTTTAAATCACCTGTAATTTTATTTGGTAAATAATGACAATTTTGCTTGAGCAACAATACTATGGATTTCCTTTGCTGAAAAAGATGCAAATAATGCTTAATGTGTTCTTTACATTTTCTATATATAATACTGGATTATTCAGAATGCATGTCTAATTTACAAATCAATGCATATTGTCTAGCATCCAAAGGCAGCCAACGGCCCCTGTTTGGCTTTGTTATTTCTGCTGTCCTTTTGACTGGTCTGAATTGTCTGTGATTCTCAATGCTTTTCAAATGTTTGCCTTAATTTTGTATGCTGCCTATAATCTACTGAAGTCAGATGGCCACTAGATTTAAATAAATAAATAAGTTTTAAAAGATTAAGATCCTAAATTATACTTAGCTGATTTTTTTAAAAAATGGCTGATTAATACTGTGAAAGTTATGTGAGCTCCAAACCCTGGCCAAGTGCAGTATCTCTGCTTGTCCTCACTTCCAGGGCAGCTCTTGGAAGAATTATGAACAATGTTTCCAACCTGAAGGGAAGACTCACAATTTAACATATACAGAAAATTCCAGATTAATTTCTGATTAAAGTAATGGCTGGGAAAGATTCCAATCTAAAATCCTGGGAGCACAGTGGGGCCTATTTTAGGCCTGTAGGATCAAAATTGTGACTCAGTGTAAGGCAGCTTCCTAAGTTGTGTTTCTATCATGAGGGCCCCTTTTCCAAACCCGTTAAATTTCTGGAAAAGATGGGCTTAACAAAAAATATCCAATACATTCTTGAGGCTGCTATATCATACTCCCATCATGGAACATGGCATTAAGTTAAGGTGACCAGATTTTAACATTGGTAAAGAGGGACATTGTGGGTGTGGCTTATTTTGTGGGCGTGGCTAGCTGGCCATGTGACTGGGTGGGCGTGGCTAGCTGGTCATGTGACCGGGTGGCCATGGCTATGTCTATAGGGTAAGGTGAACAGATTTTAACATTGGTAAGAAGGACACCATTGTGGGCGTGGCTTATTGTGTGGGCGTGGCTTAGAGGCCATGTGACTGGGTGGGCGTGGCTACCTGGTCATGTGACCGGGTGGCCATGGCTATGTGTATAGGGACTACTCAGAGGGCTGAAAAGTCATTTCTGACAGGTCCTCACACTTTTGACTGGTCCTCACATTTATGACCATCCTCACATTTATGCCCGTGCAGCATTCTTAACAACCATGTCATTCATTTCACAACTGCTTCTCTTCAACATGGTGACAAGATAGGGCAAAAATGTAAAATGTGAGGACAGTCGTAAATTCGAGGACTGGTCAAAAGTGTGAGGACCAGTCAAAAATAACTTTTTCAGCCCTCTGAGTAGTCCATATGCACAAAAGGACTAACCAGAGAGCTGAAAAAAGTCATTTCTGACAGGTCCTCGCACTTTTGACTGGTCCTCACACTTATGACCATCCTCACATTTATGCTCATGCAGCATTCTTAACAACCATGTCACTCATTTCACAACTGCTTCTCTTCACCATGATGACAAGATAGGGCAAAAATGTAAAATGTGAGGACAGTCATAAGTTCGAGGACTGGTCAAAAGTGTGAGGACCAGTCAAAAATAACTTTTTCAGCCCTCTGAGTAGTCCATATGCATTAAAGGATTACAGCAATAGAGAGGGATGAAGGAATGGAAATTAGAGTAGGAGTGAGGGTAAGAGAGGAGGAGGAGGAGAAAGGAAGAGGAAGTAGGAAGGAGAAAAAGAGGGTGGGGGGAAGAGAAAGTAAGAAGGAAAGAAAAGAGAGGTGGTAGGTTTGAGGAGAAAGATTGCTGTACAATAAAAAAGATGAAAGGGAAGAAAGCCAACCCCAAGCAAATATAAAGATATTAAGATAAAGAATGAATTGTTAAACTTTAAAGAATAAAAGAGAACAAATATGAATAAATAGCAATAATTAGAAACACACATACAAACATACAATGTATTTTCTTTGAACAGAATATTTGGCTGGTTCACAAATTTAAACAGCGTTTAGTCATTTCAATTAAATTTACAATTTCTATATTTCCTTTTTGCCGTATTTATTCCTCATCTATTTTTTAAAAAAACCAATATTACCCTTCATCCTCATCTCTAATCTTAATCAAATTCAATTTTTCCCTTCTATTCTATATTATACCCCTTCCCATTGTCATCTATTTTTATATCCATCCTCACATTGTTTAATTATGTAATTATGTAATACAGTTGTTTAATACAAATTCAACATTTTAATATAAATCAATTAGTTATAAAACTATCTCTTTTTGTATATTAATCAATATGAACATGAATATTCCAATTATTTCCATGCAATCCAATTTCTTACAAATCAATTAATTATATTTACCAATAATAATAAACCAAATAATTTCTCCCATATATTCCTCCGAACCACAACTTAACCATTTCTGCTTTCAACACAATATATAATTAATAGTATCTCAATTATTACAATTCCCTAGTTAAATACAGCTTTTTTTCCTTTGTGTTTTAAAATCTTGAACTCTCCTCCTAAATTTCCCATTGTTTGCAGTTTTTCACCTACCTTTTTTGGGGAGGAAAAATAAAAATAAAAATAAATCTCTCTCTGCCTCATTTTGTCACGCTGCACCAAAGACTCTGGTTTCGTTTTCGTTTCTGAAGCTTAGCTAGGGGAAAAAAAACCTGCTACACTGATTGCCTGTAGGGCGGCCCTTTGAAGCCCCGGGCAAGAGTTTAAACAGTTTTTTTTTCTTCTAGCCATCAGCTGGGGCTCAAGAAAAATCGGGATTTTTTTGAAACGCCGCGGGACGCGGGACAAATTGCTCAAAAGCGGGACTGTCCCGCCAAAAGCGGGACGTCTGGTCACCTTACATTAAGTGTCAAAGTTCACATGCAAGAAAAACCAGCAGATGTATTGTAGTTGCACATACCATGAATGTAAATTCCAATCGCGTCAAACATTTCAGCTCTGTTGTATCTTTCTGAAAAATGCTCCTGCTTCTAGAATCCCTTTTTCAAACAACATAGTATCTTTTTACCAACCAGTCCTTCAAGAAACAGTTTTTAAAAAGTTTTAATATACATATATACATATATGAAGGAGGAAATTTAAAAAGCAAATAGCTACTGGTAGGTCTGCAGTTTGTTTTGAGTTGGGTTTGGACAAACTAATTGTAGATGATGATATGTTAAAAATGTAGAATGCAGAGATGAATAGAAGACGGACTGAGACATGTCTGGACCAATACAGAGTTCTTGAGAACAAAGAGAACAGGGAAATCGATTTGGCTGACTGTCCAGTCTCTGGGTAGAGTTCAAATACTTTCCAGGGCTTACAGACTATGACATAAACTTTTGGAACGAAGAGATATGAACTTCATTTTTCTTGCCATCTGCTTTTTCACTTCAGTATTTGGTATTCAAAGATTTCCAAAAGTGGTAGTATTGATTGGAAGAAATGATATTTTACTATTAAGAAATTGGTTATTAAGAAATTATATGGCTTGCGTTATTTTATTATCATCACTTGCCACAAGTGGGCTAAACTATTTTATCAAGCCCTCTCCTCTCTGTAATTCCTGGCATGTTTGTCATAAAGGCAGCTAATGATGACAAATTATGTAAGATGCATTTATGTGAGACAGAACAAGATGTCCTGTAATTAGTAGCCACTGAGTTTGAAAGTCTGGGGCCCTGTTGTGTTATGTTTCACAGAGTCTATTAATTGCTTTCATTTGTGAATCAGCATATTCAACTTCAAAGAGCAAAATAAAAACATTGAGTCTGTAGAGATCATCTTTTTTACAATCTAAGGTGCAATAAAATTATATTTGACATTCATTTGCACAATGTTACAGCAGAATAAACAGGTAGTTATGAGGAGAGATAGAATTTTCTTTCATCAACTATTATATAGGATTGAACAAAGTTATTTTTTTCCTAGTGTTCACACTTATTTGAATTTTGAAACATAATTCTTAATTTAAATATGCATACAACACATATATTTAGAAAGAGAAATATATTAGATTTATGTGCAAACTTTCATTTTTACCAAAAAAATAAAATAAAAAATAGAATGGGCTTGTGATAAAACTGACACCAATGACAAATAGATTGGTAAACTAAATTACATAAGAGTGTAAATCCTATAGAAACTGCATTGGCTTTCAGGATGCTTCTGGGTGTTATTCAGGGTGCTTTTAAAGTCCTGGATAGCACAGAACCAGGTTACTTGCAGGATTGTCTCTCTGCCTGTTACCCATATCTGACAAGGTAGGAATGCTCCAGTCCAGGGGCGGGTTGTACTTACCTTTATTACCAGTTTGCAACGGGGCCGTGTGCAGAAGCTTCCTGA